CGTTATAACCCCTAGAAACTACTGTTTAACTACCCTTTTTACGTGGTTGGGCTATTCTGAACCTTGTATCCATTATTATTATTATTCAAACAGCAAGCAAGCAAGTTTAAGCGTGGATATTTAGACAAATATGTTGTGGTCTCTGTTTTAGTGGCAGTTTTCTCTGCTGTATAGAAGTGGTCGAACCTCATTTTGCAAATTGGTTGTTGTCAGGATGACATAGTTGGACTCACCTCGTACGAAATCCTCTACTATATTATCTATGAGAATAGTTTTCTTGGTGCTAAAAATAACAAGACTCACTGAAGCTGCCAACTAGGCTATTATGAAATGTATGGGAATGTAGCAAGTCAACGGTCCAACGCTGGGAATTATCATAACTATTATGGCAGATGACTGTGGACAAGGTGCGTCCAGCTGGGTCGCGCTAACAATACGACCAAGTTTCAAAAACGAGGACAGATCACTTATACACAAGCTTAATCCTTCTCCTCTGAGAAAAATAGGTACATTAGTAGCTTGCGGTCATGGAAATGGCCAATTTATCAGTACCAATGCTGGAAAATGTTCGAATGGTGGGCTGCCTGACATTCTTTCCTTTTGTGTTGGAACAGACCATGATTTAAATTGCGAAAGATAATTAAAAATGGCCTCAAAGTGTCATTGCTGTTGTGGATAGAACTCATTCGAGAGGTAAAGTAATTTCTTGACTAATGAAAGTGACTCAAAAACATCAAATATTCTTTAAAATTTAGCTCTAACATACGCACTATTATCTCTACTTAAAAGTATTCGATACTGATTTATCTCTACCGCAACTAGCTTCTCTAGATAGCTTTGAAGCAGTCTTTATTCAATCATATAATTGTAGAAATTTGGTTTCGAGACTGGTAGTCCACTTTGCATGAGAATATTTTTTGAGAGACAGGGTTAAATGCAATTTCCATACATCGGGGGCCTAATCATATAAGTGCAAGATAATTCAGCCATCAGTGACTCGAATTCTTATCTAAAATGTACAAAAATTCTTGAATATAAGTAATGTAGTCGGCAGTAATGGTAAGACGTTTGCTTCCTTGACCATTCCATTATAAGTGTAATATGGCAAACCTTGGTTTGCCCAAAAAATTCAAGTCCGCACAGTGGCCGGCCGGCACTAGTGTCAGTCTGGCGTAGTGGTAAAATATGGGTAATAAATATCGCAATAATTGGATTCAATTCCCGTTGAGGGTACTAATGAGGGCAAGTAGATGTAGAAATGTAGTCCAATCTGGTTAAGAATGCCTTTTAGGAAACAAAATTAAATGAAGTTGTTTGACCTTAGTTTCGCAAGTTGGTCATATTAGCAGGAAGACCTAGATAAACGCATCTTGTCCTGAGTCCTTAGTATGCATGATCATTTCCAGAGTCGGACCGTGGACTCTAGGTCTTCCTGCTAATATGACCAAGTAGCGAAACCAAGGTCAAACAACTTCTATAAAACAAAAGAAGACCGCAACCATACAAATGCCACAGCATCCTGGTCTTCCCACCTAAGGTTAAATGAAGTTCAACGACGCCTTAAGACCTATTCATCATTATTCAAAAATTATATTTCTAGTTCTTCATCACCTTATGTGACGTTAACTAATCGGAATTAACTCTGTATCACATGAAGTAGGAGCAAATCATGCCAACAATAAGATCATATTCATACTACACCTTTACTTTTCAATCCTTATCCCAACATAATAGTCCAAATTCCTCCAAAAGTCTAGAAATGTACTGGTACCAAAAAAAGTTAATCAGCGAGTAAATTGCAGGCGTATTTAGGCCAGCAATTGTTCCAGGTGATTAGGACCCTATTCGAAAATATTTTCAACTAATCTTTTTTGAAGTTGTTTGACCTTGTTTTCGCAAGGTGGTCATATTGGTAGGAAGACTAAGAGGAACGCACCTAGTCAGGAGTCCATTGTCTGCATGATCATTTGTAAAGTAGAACCGTGGACGTGGTACATTCCCAAACGTTTCGCCGGAATCGTCAGTGATTATCGCTATTCTTAGCACCATACAACAACTCGTCAGAGACAAGTGAAGCCGATCTTTGACCAAACGTTTGCTAAACAATTGTGGTATCTCCCCTTCTTCCCTGGGTCATGTCGCCCAAAGGAGCACACCACACTATATCTAAATAAACACGGTAAAATTTTAATAGTGAAGGCATGATAGGATGCTACAGAAAACGCGAATAACCCAGGGCAGAAGGGGAGATACCACAATTGTTTAGCAAAAGTTTGGTCAAATGACCGCTTTCACTTGTCTCTTTGACGAGTTGTTGTATAGTGCTAAGAATAGCGATACTCACTGACGATGCCGACTACGATGCCGGCGAAAAGTTTGGGAATGTACCACGTCAACGGTTCAAA